AATATCATGAAGGCTCAGAGATGAGAGATCAAGGTACAAAGAAGTCCAGATGGATTGGAGTACAAAAGGTGAGAGAGTGAAGAGCATGGAGTGAGGTTAGACTGAATAAATTTATATCATACAAATTATTTGTATTCAAAATTTGAAAGAGTTCTCTGGTACCATCCATTAGGGCAGTGCTACCTCTTCCCTCCTCTCATCAAAGATGGGGACTAAGCCCAAGAGAAACAAAGGCAAAGCCAGAGAAAAGAGATGACAAAAAGGCATATGAGGGGAAGAAGAGCTAAGGCAACCAGGGCTCCCTGATGTGAAGAGACTAGTCAGTGATATGAGACCAGCATTTGGATGGATAAAAGATTATGAGGTGCAATTAGTCATTCAGGTGTCTGGTTGGTAAGCTCCCACTAGGTTGCAAACTCCTTCCGAACAGGGAGGGACTGAATAATCGGTTTTCCCAGCAGATTGTATTGTACTCAGCACATACTATGTAGGCTCAGGAAATGCTTGCTGTATACACATTAGTACATGTGCAACTACAAAGTGCCTACTCATAGAGACCAGAAAATCTTAACTGGGTAACAGTCTTGCTTCAATTCCACAAGCCTCAAAAACCCAAAGTGCTTAATAGTTTTATCATTATCGCTCACCAGCAGAGGCAGCTTTCATCATCAACTGGGAAAATGTGATGGCACCTCCTTTTCTGAAGGATAATTTAAAAGTAGCCTGTCCTTCCCAGCCACCTGGGGGAAGAAACGGACACACTCACTAAGAAGCAGGCTGGCACAGCTGGTAACTGGACTAACACAAACACTGACAGAAACATTACCCAAGAAGCAGGGTGGCTGTCTTTCGTTTGAATTCCAACATGAGCCAAGTCTGAATCTTAAACCTTCTGGAAGCTTTTAAGAAAAAAAAAATACACCTCTGACTGTAAACACATACCATCTGGAGCTGCCTGAATGGTTCCTTGAATGTAGATGGGGGCAAAGACTGGCTGTTCGAGGGTGCAGTTGCTCATCAGATCAAATGGCATCATAAAAGAAAGCATGGGATCACTGACTGAGTGTGACGTCACAAAGATCACCTAAGAAAGGAAAGTAACTTTGAAAAAGGAATGCAATTTGTCCATAGTTTGAGACATAAAAAATGTCTAAGGTTGTTTGCTTTGGCATCCTGGCCTGATGAAAAGCATCACCCATTTTCTTCTATCATTCTTCAACAAGGAAAATCTCAAAGTGCAAATGTTTGACAACACTTTGAAACTCAATGGTTACCCTCTTTCCATTTTAAGGAAAACAATGTAGAGTTAATGAAAATTGAAGTATAAAGAGAAATTACCCGGTATGAAGTGAGAAGCAACGTTCCCCTCTTTGTACCATGAAAGAAATTGGATCCTGGTGGTTGATCTGGGAAGGAGAGCTCCACATCATTACACTGATTCAAGACACTGTAGAAAAACAAGGGCAGACAGCACACAATTTAGAAGTTACATCAGGTGACAAACATAGAACTCCTGGCACAGTTCCTAGCCTGGACAAACAATAAATGTTAGTTGCTGCTACTACTATCTTTATTGACATAAAAAAAATTAAATTATTTTATTCCCTAACAATTCACATTTATTCTTCTCTATCTTTATCTCTTGATTACAACATTCTTTAAATTTTTCGATTGTATTTATTGAAAATCAGTCAGAAATCTTGTATCTTTTTTATTTTTTTAATATTTTTATAAGTATTTTTAAAATATATATATTTTTATTGATTTCAGAGAGGAAGGAAGAGGTGGAGAGAGATAGAAACATCCATGATGAGAGAGAATCATGGATCGGCTGCCTCTTGCAAGTCCCCCACTAGGGATCGAGCCCACAACCCTTGCATGTGCCCTTGACCGGAATTGAACCTGGAACCTTTCAGTTCGCAGGTCGACACTCTACCCACTGAGCTAAACACGCTAGAGCTTAATTGATAAGAAACATCGATCAGCTGCCTCCTGCACACTCCCTACTGGGGATGTGCCTTAATCGAATCCACAAGCCCTTGCCAGGAATCGAACCTGGGACCTTTCAATTCACAGGTCGACGCTCTATCCACTAAGCCAAACCAGCTAGGGCTTGTATCTTTTTATAAAGAATTTTTAAAAAAATTGATTCTGAGAGAGAGAGAGAGAAACATCGATGTAAGAGCAAAACCTCCATGGGCTGCCTCCTGCACGCCCCCTACCAAGGATCGAACATGCAACTTAGTTACATGCCCTGACCAGGAATCAAACCAGCAACTTTTTAGTGCCTAGGATGATGCACAACCAACTGAGCCACACCAGCCAGGGCTGGATTATTTTTCTTATAAAACTACTTGTATTCTTTCTGTTTATTCACAAATGCTTATACTTCTTGTGCAGGAACTATCAAGCGCTGTGCTAAAGGAAATGTTAACGCAGGTAAGGCATGCAGAATGCTCCAGAATCCTCTCACATGTTGCTCCCGCTTCCATTCACGTTCTCCCCTCACTCTTAACCTGAAAAACTTGGGTTCATCCATAGAATCCTATTGGTTTTTTTCTTAGTAAAGATTATATGTGTTGATTAGTTCAACGTCTTTCCTAATGATCACTAAGGACAATGTTTGCCTTCTTTGCCACTGCAGGCTTAGCAAGTGGTGGGTGCTACTAAATATTTACTGGGAGAATGAACAACTGAATACATGAATATGGGTACTAACACAAGCAATATATGACAACATAAATGGCACAAAAATGTCACGGCAACTAAGTGAAAGGGGAGGTTAGTTTTGGTTGAAGTAATTAGGAATGACTTTATAGAAAGATTGAAATACGAGCTGATTCTTAAGGGGTGAATAGTGTTTCAAGATCTTTTTTTGTTAATTCTCACCCAGGATATTTTTCCATTGATTTTTAGAGAGAGTAGAAGGGAGGGGGAGTGACACAAACATTGCTGTGAGGAACAGGGATTGGTTGCTTCCGGCACGTGCGAAAGGAAAGAAAGAAACATGGATTTATTGTCCCACTCAGTTAGGTATGCACTGGCTGATGCTTGTATGTGCCCAGACCGGGGATCGCACCCACAACCTCAGCGTATGGGGGCGATGCTCCAACCAGCTGAGCGACCCCGCATTCAAGGGGCTCAGTGCACCTGAGCACAGCACCTGGTGTCAGGGCCGCACTGCCAGGCAACTCCAAAGGACACACGAGGGCCACCCCGGCGGAGAGGGGTGTGGTTAAGAGGGGTCAGGCAGCCGACAAGCAGGGCTCTGAGAAACTGGGGGCAGGGAATTAAGGGAGCGGAGTTGCGCGTGAGGTGGAGAGGCCAACAACCGACTCCCTCCAGACAGACAGGTTGAGCGCGGCCAAAGGGGAGCAGCAACCCTGCAGGCACCGAGCTAAGCGACCGTGCAAACCCTAAAGCGGCCCCCCGCCCGCTGAGGGAGCGAGCGCCATTCTTCCTAGGCGTCTTCTTTTGGTCCCAGCCTTTTCCATAAACAGCAGGCTTCTCCCTGGCTGGGCCAAAAAGGAAGGGGGCTTTGGGAAGTTTTGAAGACAAGGAGAGCCCCCCCCACACACCCCCGCGCCCGACAGTTGGGAGTCTTTCTAGAATTTTCCACACAATGCCTCTTCCGCCTCCGGAAGTCCACGGCCTAGTTCCCCAGAGTGGGCGGAAGGAGCGCGGCTACGGCCGTCACCCTACAAAGGTCGCTACCTCGCGCCCAACAGCAGCAGCACGCCATCCGCAGGGGCGGTGCGACTCCCCACTGCCCCAGGGCGGCTCACCTTTCTTCTGAGGTGACACGGGACTCCCCACCGCCCCAGGGCGGCTCACCTTTCTTCTGAGGTGACACGGGACTCCCCACCGCCCCAGGGCGGCTCACCTTTCTTCTGAGGTGACACGGGACTCCCCACCGCCCCAGGGCGGCTCACCTTTCTTCTGAGGTGACGGGCCCTCTCCAGGAAATCCCGCCCCGCCCTCAGTCACCGGAGGCGCGCTCCCGCCCTTCACATGTGCGAGGCCACACGCTACCGCTTGCGCCACCGCCACCTCGCGGAGCAGGCGCGAGGACGTGAGGACACGCACGCGCACGAACGTCGGAGGCGGCGCTAAGCGTGAAGCGTCGGAAAAGGCGCGAAAGCCCCTGATTCGCTGAGAGCTCGCAAGTCGTCGGCTCTACCCAGTCCGTCCCCGCCCCCTCCCCCCACACAGCACCCGGCTTCCCCTCAGGCACCTCTCCCCGTAAGGGATGTAAGCCTTGCGGCGGTTTTCCGTGTGGCTCTGGTTCACCGCCATCTTGCTGGGGGGGGCCCTCCGGCCGCCCCGCAAATGGGAAGGGGCGGGGCCTGCACCAAGCCCAGGGGCCGGGCTGGAAAGTGGAGGGTGGCGATTATGGCGCAAAGACAAGGAGTGAGCGGGCCGCTAGGCCGCCAGCCTAGTGAGCCGCAGTGATGGAGACCCCGGTGGAATCAGAGTTGAGACACACCGCCTAACGGGGAAGAAGGCGGGTCCAGGGAGTTGGCTCCGCCCTCAGGGCACAGCGGGGGTGAGTGGCCTTCGTGACCTTCACCTGCCTGCCCTGCCGCTGCATCATCAGCATGAACTTGAACCAATCCTGTCAGGAAATCAAAAAGCAGGCGTTGCCTCAGTCCTCCCAGGCCCGGGTCAGGAAGCTTCTGCCCTTTGGAGAAAGGATCCAGAATGATCTCTCACTTCTAAGGTGGAAACTTTTTCCCACCAGAGAAAGCCTGGAACCAGAGCCGGTTTCTTATGACGCGGCCTGCGGAACCGGAAGTCATAGGGGGGTCCGTGCCTGCCCCGAGGTGGAGAGAGCCTGTGCCATCCACCGCACCTGCCCTGCCAGCCCCGAGGGCGATCGTGGAGAGCCGGCAGAATACATCACACACAATTGCCTTGAAGACGAAAATGCTGTACATACTCTTATTTCCTTTCAACATCACAGATAGCACCACAGAACTTCAAAGGGAAAGGACGTGAACATCTGGATTACTGCAGTTCATCAAACTTAACATTCTGTCAGTTATAAGATGCACCATTTTTAAACGTACCACTAAGAAAAAAAGTTGCCAAGTAAACTGACATGTCATCAGTTGTAAGTGGTATTCTGATTTCAGAAATATGTATATTTTTAAGTACAAGACAATGAGAATAAATGAAGTACAATCGGTACGTGTGCAGCAGTGGAACAGTCATTGAGATCTGGTCTCCTTGCACTGGTACTTACGTGTGCAACTTCAGACAAGACAGTTACGCTCTCTGGACTTACGCTTCCATATGGGCACGAAGGCATTGGACTAGAAGAACTCTTAGGTTTCTTCTAGTGATAGCTTAAGTTGGAAAAACTGCTCCATCACTCCAATCTTCACCCTTCTCCCCATCCAGGCGTAGCAATGCACTCCAGTTCTGGCCCTCATCATTTTACCTGAATGACCCCCAAGAGCTTCTGGACTTGTCTTCCTCCAGTCTTGACCTCCCACTGTTCATCACAGAATATTGAGATCCCAAACACAATCGCATGTATGGGTCCATCATGTCCAAATTTAGAGAAATAATATACAGGTGAGAGTTGTGTTATTTGCTGGTTACAAAGGAGAGGATAACTTCAAAGAGAAGCAGGATGGGTTTAAGTTAAAAAAAAGAGAGAGAGACAAGCTAGTGATTTAAATTGTTTTCATTGAAGGAAGCAAGCTATGCAATGCATCCCTCAAGATCAAGTATGAGAGTTTCATCACTCATTTTAGATACAAAAATCCCAGGGAATAATGACTGGGGTCCATCTAAAGATGAACTGACCTTACAAAGTGATTTCTATCTTTAATTTCTGTGGCTACTTCTAAGACAGTCCCTGTCTCACCCTCCACACATGGGTGAGATGATGTAATGTCTGTTTGGCCAAGGAGTGAGGAGCACAAATAAGACACAGGCCAGGCAGTTATTGTTCAAACAGCAATGTTTAGTTGTACAACACATATAGTCTAGCAACATTTACACAACCAGTTTGAGTGTCATTGGCTTGTTTTCAGTTGGGAAATTTAACCATAATGTCACCAAAAGGTAGGTTGGGACTAGTCACATTTAAGAAATGGGTTGTTCTTGCATCCCCTAGGCTTGGGCCTCTTGCTCCATCAGGACTCGGTTGTAGATGAATGGCCCACAAGTCACCAGCCTTTGAGCAAGTTGTGTCCAGGTGGAGAAGGGGAGGGGTGGGCAGGGAGAGATTCCATAAAGACACAGTGTGTGGGGCAGTGGCAGCCGACATTCGCAAACATTCATGCATCTGATAAGGGCCTTTGCCCTCCATTGGGTATTTTCCACTAGCCTACAGTGACCAACTGTGGCCAGACTGATTCATTACTCACATTAATTGGGGAGGGAGGGTAGGAATAGTCAATGTGGGTGGGAAGAGATCCTTCTTATTGCTAAGTAGACAGATGGGTGCTTTTTTTCTTCCTAGAGTTCACATCTTCTGGGGATCTGGAGTTTTTTTGTCTGTGTTTAGTTTCTTTGTTTTTTAATGTTGAGGATAAGGGAGTCAACCCAGAAATGTCTCTTCGGAAAACCACTCTTCCTAAGTGGCTGATTATGGGGTGGGAAGGGTGTGTAACCACACTCTGGGCCAGCCACAAGTGGTGCTTTTTAAAGGAGAGGCCCTAGCCCTTACTCCCCCACATCTGTAGTGACCCATCCTTATAAATAAGTTTTAAGCAATGAAGGAGACACCCTTGTCCCACACCAGGGCTCACACAGCTGACATCAATGAATCTGAAAAGCAGAAAAAATGGCTTTCTTGACCCTTTAAGGAAGCCAAGAGTAGCTCATGCAGATGGACAGGGAGCAATGCCATGTCCCTGGGAGATGGTAACAAGTAGCTGGTATGGGTTTGCAAGGGCAGAAGAAGCTCTTGATGAGTTCTTTCACCCTACAGATGGGCTGGGACCAGCTGACACAGACGATGGAGGAGGGCAGTGCTGGCGAGGGCTCCATTCCACTGGGAGGAGAGGGGTGTTTGGATAAATGGAGAAGGCGACTGTCCTAAAGCAGCTGGCCCCTCCCACCTGCTGAGGGCCAGGGAGAGAGAAGGGCTGTGGAGGTGGACGGGACAAACACAGCCCTTAAAAGGTCATGGCCCCGCAGCAATAACAGCTGAGAGGAATGGAGGGAGAAGCAGCGCTTGAAATGGCCTTCATTCAGCAGTGGGGCAGGGGGTGGCTGGCACGGGTGGAAGGACAGAGCCCAGGAGGCCTTCTCCCTGCAGGGGGTTGAGAACGGTTGAGGGTGTGGACACCAGACAAATAAAACAGCGTCTCCAGGGAGGCTGAGATCATGGTTTAGGGGCACCACACCACATTTCCTATTCAGCCTCTTCAATGCCCAACCGCCACCCTTAGACCTTCCCTGATAGGCCTAGGGGTCTAGTCCCACATTCTGCACAGGACTGCTCCCTGTATAAGCCCGGGATCTCTTTTGCTGAGATGTGGCAACCTCTGGGCTCTAACCCTATTGTTGTTTTATCCTGACAGGTGCCTACACTGGAATAACTGTGAGTAAGGGAGGATGTGGGTTGGATTTGTAAAGAGCCTCCAGGAAAGATTGAGGCCATAGGTTTGGGGTCATTGGCAACCGATCGCCCACCTCTTTCACCTGGTGCACTGACTCTTGGTCTTAAGTCTTTGTGTTTTCCTAGCACCTGAGTGAAAAGGGACTGTAAATGCTGGGGTTCACAGGGGCCCTGCAAAACACCTAGGGTTGGACCAGGACATGGAACAGGAGGTTGCGTGAGGTCACTGTAAACTGTCCCTTGGTGATTTCCCTTGCCTAAGGCTATATTGTTTCCCCAGCCCCACATTTTAGCCACCTCACTGATTAAAGGAGGAGTAACATGTTTGTAAAACAAATAGGATATATGTGCATTAATAAATACAGGTCTGAAGGGAAAGACAAGAAAAGGCTAAATGTATGGTTGTGGGTGTCACTGGGAATGTCTACAGGTGTCAGGAGGGGGAACAGGGGAAAGCAGCAGAGAAAGACAGACAAAATGCAATCAGCTTCAGCACAAAAGTGAGAACAGAGGAGGGAAGAGGGGGTCAAGTTCATAGGAAAAGAAGGAAGCAACAGAGAAGCCAGCTTTAAGGAGGAAGAATCCTAATGGAGAGAAAGAAGGTGCCATTTAACATTTGTCTCCGGGCTGGCTGGTGTGGCCCAGTTGGTTGAGCGTCATCCCATGCACCAGGAGGTCACAGTTGGATTCCTGGTCACGGGACACACTCAGGTTGCAGGCTGGATCCCCAGTAGGGATCGTGCAGGAGGCAGCTAATCAATGTTTCTCTCTCATTGATGTTTCTCTCTCCCTTCCTCTCTCTGAAGTCAATAAAATAAAATTTTAAAGTTGTCTCTGAAGCCAAACTACCAAGAAACACAAATATTGTACTAGTATTTTGTTCCTGATACTTCTTTAGACTCAGTTCTTCTAAAATTGAATGCCTAAAAACAGTGTCTCACTTGACCAGCCTGCATGCTTCTTTTACCAGACACTGGGAAGCACATGCCGCACTGTGCCTCCTCCTTTGCCCCGCTTGCCCACAAACTCAGCGCCAGACACGGCGCTCGCCTGCACACACGCTTTCCCATTCCTGTCTATGGACCTCAGTTCTCATAGTCCCAGTTTGAACTGCCCCATGCTTTTAGCTGTGATTTTATTTTAAGGTGGCCTAAGTCATTTTTGGAAGTAGACTGGGCATAAATTCTAAATATAGAAATGTAGCTAAAGTGGATTAGTCTACAAGGAACTTACAGAAGTGAGGGAGAAGCAGGATGAAGAAATGAGGGAAAGGGAGACAAGGAGAGAATGTGGGAGCTGAGGCGAGTGTGACGTGTTGGAAACAGCAGGCTGCGACAGGGACAGGCAGTAGCTCTTGGACAGTGAATGCAACACAGACCAAAGGGTGGAGTTCTCGTCTCCACTTCTAGGCACTAATTCTTGCAGGCGCCCAGCTTGGCCTACTTCTCTGCTGGCCCCTGACCTTCCTTTTTCCCAGGAAGTCCTGGCCTTGCCCCAAACCATCTGGCTTCCAGGCAGGGGTAAGTCCAAGCTCCTCGCCCCCTCCCAGGCCTAGCTCTGCTGCCTGTCCTCGGACAATCTCTGCAGACCCAGAGTGCGGGCAGGTTCAGAGATAAGAAAGAGTTACCTGTGGCTCACCTGCGCCCTCATTTTTAAGTGAAACCTCCCCAGGCCTCTTGAGTGAGGCACACGGCTTGGTTCTGGGACACAAGGAAAGGAGACAGATAATGGACAGCCATGAAGAAACCAAACTTACAAGGGACTTTCCAGGGAGGGCAGTGAAAATACCTCACCCCTGAACAGGCACACAGGCACACACAGACTCCCACTCTCTTTCACACACACACACACACACACACACACACACACACACACACACACACATGCACACACACTGTAGACAAGATGCTCCATGAATACCAGACAGGCCTGTGGGACAGAGTGGAAAGGAAGGTGGCTGGAGGTGGTACTGGGGATGTGTGTGGAGAAGTGGGGATGTGTGATGATGTAGAGAAAGGGCGTCATGGGTTACTGTCGTGGCTTCCCTCTGTGTCCACGCTCACCGGAGGGAGGCCTCCGTTGTCATTGAGCCGCTTGGCCCTGTAGGTCTCATAGTGGATGTTGTGTGTCACTTCCTTGAGGTCCTGGAGGTGAGTCCTGAGGGACACAGGTGAGGAGAGAGAGAGAGGCGCAATTAGGGGTGGGAGGACAAAGAGGTGACCCCCCACCCAGGGTGAACACTTCCCTTCCATGGCCTGGACCCGCTGGGACTGACTCGGAGAGTCAGCGCTGCCTCTTCCGCCCCTTGTGCTTCAGGAGGGGACCTGGAAGCGGGGCAGATGGCCCATCAGAGAGAACTGGAGACTGAGGCCCTGGGTCTGAACAGATGGCCTTCTGACCCGAAATCATTAAGTCTGCCATCGAGGGCAGGGGTTCATCTTACCTGATGACAAAGTCTCGAAGCAGGGCAAACTCACAGTGGTGGAGGTTTTCCACTGTGAACAGAACAAAAGGAAACAAAGCAAAACAGGTGGTCATTTCACTGACGCAGCAACCCAGCAGGTGCGCTTCTGTTCAGGACATGGAGGCAGTTAGGAGAGAGCCAAGGACAGCGACCAGCCGTCAGAGGTCGGCCTGTCTTGGCACTTCAGTGCGCTCGATTTCACTCATGGAACAAACATTTATTACGCAGCTACAAGGCACAATACTGTTCTGGACTCTGTGGAATAACACTGGCAGGGACTATTACATGCCCCACTTCATAGGAAAGAAAACAAATACACAGGGAGTCTAAGAAAAGATATTGTTCCTATCCGTAAGGAGCTTATAATCAGACTGGAGGACAGTGACACACAGAAAATAACAACCAAGCCATCTTAAAAAAGGTCGTGCGCTACATGATAAATCTAGTTCAACATAAAAGGAGTGCCTAGGATTTGCAAATCATTTGTCAACGATTGTGGGAGCAGAAGAGGATTAAGACATGTACCCTGCCCTGGCTGGTGTGGCTCAGTTGGTTGGAACATCACCTATGCACCAGAGGGTTTCGGGTTCAATTCCCAATCAGGGCACATGCCTAGGTTGCAGGTTCCATCCCTGGTCAGGGTGCGTACAGGAGGCAGCCAATCGATGTTTCTCTCTCACATTGATGTCTCTCTCTCTCTCTCTCTCTCTCTCTCTTAGAAATTAAAATAAAGACATGAACCCTCTGGTCTCACAATCTAATGGGTAAAACAGGCATTCTCATAAATAGTTCCAATTCAAGGCAGATAATGAAAAATGCTATTAAAAATATACAGAGGATGTATATGGAATTGTACCCCTGAAATCTATTTAATTTTACTAATCAATGTCACCCCAATAAATTCAATAAAAACAAACCAAAAAAGAAAATGAAAAAGAATTTTCAACAAAAAGTCATAGGGAAATGAGAGACAACATGATACAATGGGATGAACTTGGTTTTGGAATCAACATGTCCAGGTCTGAAATCCCAGTTTCACCACTAACAAGTCATGTGATTTGGGCAAGACATTTAACCTGTCTGAGATTCAAGAGCTTCATCAGCTGATGCTCTGAAAAGTCACACCTACCCTGCTCCCCTTAGGCAGTGGTTCTCAACCTTCCTAATGCTGCGACCCTTTAATACAGTTCCTCATGTTGTGGTGACCCTCAACCATAAAATTATTTTTGTTGCTACTTCATCACTGTCATGTTGCTACTGTGATGAATCGTCATGTAAATATCTGATATGCAGGATGTATTTTCATTGTTACAAATTGAACATAATTAAAGCATAGTGATTAATCACAAAAACAATATGTAATTATATATGTGTTTCCCGATGGTCTTAGGCGACCCCTGTGAAAGGGTCGTTCAACCCCCAAAGGGGTCACAGCCCATAGGTTGGCAACCTATAGGTTGAGAACCGCTGCCTTAGAGGGTTATCATACTGAATGAGATCACTGAAGCAATTCTTTGAAAACTTTCACCACAAACTTTCAGAATCGTTACGACCTTCTCAAGGTCACATCCATTCATAATAAAACGAAAATGGCAACATCTGCACAACCCTTCAGCAATCTGTCAGGTCACATCAGCTTTCATGGGAAAGCCTTTCTCTGGCGTGTCCAGTCCTTATTAATCTCCCCACGGTCCGAAGACCCTTGACATCTGAGTCGGTGCCTCCCAGACAGGTGCTAAATCAGTCTTTTATTGCTTCCGGCCTTGGGAGTCTCATTTCTCAACTAGACTGTAAGCTCCTTACGGCAGGGTCTGCCTGGCATTCTTTTTCTATCTTACATCCTAGCGGTGCCTTGACCTAGACACGCATAATAAATCAGCATAATTGGCCAGCAGCTTGTTCTTCCAAAAGATGCACTGGGTTACCTTCAATGATGCCCCAGGGGGTTTTCCGGCCGAGGACCCGCTTGCCATTCACTTGGTATTCCTTGTCACTTCCCACCACGGCAAAGGGCATGCTCTCCTGCTGACAAACCAGACGCATGCGCACGTCATCCTCTGCCATCTGGGCCTCCGAGGGCAGGATGGCATCCGGCCCCCAACCCTGAATTGCACACTTCTGAGGTTCATTCAGTGACCCCACTGATGGCAAGGGCAAGGCTCTTGTCATTTCAAAAGAGCACTGGAGCCCAGCCAGTGTGGCCCAGTGGTTGAGCATCGACTTAGGAACCAGGAGGTCAGGGTTCGATTCCTGGTCAGGGAACTTGCCTGGGTTGTGGGCTTGATCCGCAATAGGGGATTCTTTCTCATCATTGATGTTTCTATCTCCCCTCTCCCTTCCTCTCTGAAATCAATAAAAATTACATTTTTAAAATACATTTTTTATTGATTTTAGAGAGAGAGGAAGGGAAAGTGAGCAACATCAATGTGAGAGAGAAACTTCCATTAGTTGCTTCCTGCACGCACCCTGACTGGGGATTGAGCCTGTAACCCAGGCATGTGCCCTGACCAGGAATTGAACCGGCAACCTTTCGGTGCACAGGATGATGCTCAGCCAACTGAGCCACACCGACCAGGCCTTTTTTTTCTCTTTCTTTCTTTTTAATATATTTTATTGATTTTTTTACAGTGAGGAAGGGAGAGAGATAGAAAGTCAGAAACATCGATGAGAGAGAAACATCGACCAGCTGCCTCCTGCACACCTCCTACTAGGGATGTGCCCACAACCCAGGTACATGCCCTTGACTGGAATTGAACCTGGGACCTTTCAGTCCACAAGCCGACGCTCTATCCACTGAGCCAAACCGGTTTCGGCCTTTCTTTCTTTCTTTCTTTTTTTTAAAGGGCATGGACTGGGAGTCCCAAGTCCGGGATCCAACCCTAACTGTACCGGCCTCACAGGTCAGCCTCAGTAAGTCGTTTCCTTCAACGGGAGAACGCTTGGGACTTTTCAGAGCCCTGTCCACATTTGGTTTGACCCGGAACAACTCTGTGAGCTAGCTAGGATGGACAGACCTCTCTTAAACGACACCCACCCAGGAGACGGCCAGAGAAACATGCTTTTACACGGCCTCCCATGAAACCCACGGGCAGAGGCCCAGGTCCGCCGGGAGGCCACCTTCTGGTGTGTAGGCCCCTCTGCTCTGCTACGGGGGCTGCGCGCTCACCAAGATGCAGCTGTTTGCTCCCAAATGCAGATGCCTGCTGTGTGCGCGTTGTCATGATTGAATCAATGAACTATTATATAAGCTGAGGGTAGATGTGCGTAGAGAACTGTTTCTCTGAAAATTAAGTTGAATGTTTCAGAAAAGTTTGATAAAGGTGAGTTGCTTCTGCACTGACAGTAAACTTAGTCCCCAAGAAGAGGAGAATGTTTACTTAATAATTTAGTAAAATAACTACTTAAACACAGGAGTTGTGTGCCTCTTTTAAGTGATTTCATCAATGAACTGACCAACTGCCTGTCTTCCGGCGTCAGACAAGGGGATTGCAGTAGCTTGCCCACACCTGCCAGAGGAGGAGACCCAAGACCAGCACCAGGGAGTGGTTTGTCCCGGGTGACCGTGGGTTAGTAGAAAAGGCCAGACTAGACCCCAGGATTCCGAGGCAGAGTCCCAGATTGCAGAGGGTTCGAACTGAGAGACCTTAGAAATCACCTGGACTGGTGCTTTGTAAGCAGGTTCCCTGCAGCCCTAGGCTTCCCAGGAGACACCTGGGGGCGGGCTGAGAAGGCTCTGTGCCGACATCACTTAGCAAAGCAGCTCTGGCTTTAGGTTTTGTATATTGGAGCTCTGGCATTTAATTTCTTTAAAGGGTTCTTTCAGGGGGAAAAACACCTATCAGCCACTCAGTTGGCCTGACCTCTGCACTTATAGAGGGGAAACTGAGGCAGGGCTCTGTTTTGCTGAGCCCCGTGGAAGGGAGCGGCTGCTGTGTGGTCTGGGGATGACGGGAACAGCGGCTATGGGTGCAGGGCACACCGTCCCGGCCGAGGCTCCTAGTCCTCATCCCCTCCCTGTCACTGCTGGTCGGGGTCAGGCAGGGTGGGGCAGGGAGAATGGAAGGGGAAAGTGGGTGGGAGAAGCCAGAAGCAGCACGTGATACACATCCCGCAGGTACCCAGGGGGCATGTGCGAGCGGAGCCCAGGCACCCACCCGGATTTTGTCATTCTCCGTCTTGTCCTCCAAATCTTCATCAAATTCCTTCTGTGGGTAGAACTCAATGCCATGTACTTCAAGCTCCTTTCGAACCTAGAGGTGAGGAAGAGAAGCAAGGTAGCCACGTGCCAGGATAATGGGAGGTGTGTGTGTGTGTGTGTGTGTGTGTGTGTGAGAATGCGTGCATGCGCGCACACACACTGAAGTCAGAGGGATGAACGCAGCCTTGAGAATCCACACGTCTCTGGACTCAAAGGCCCGGGGCAGCAGGATGATCCTGAATAAGTGTGAACCCCAGGCGTACAATCACCAGAGCTCAGCCTGAGATGCGGAATAGTCTGGGGGTGCAGCTTGCTCATCGCAGGGTCTGTGAGGTTCGGATTTTGATAAGCATCACCGCTGAGTACAGATTTCACATGCAGCGCTCATGCCACTATGTGTTATATTCCTGTCTGCAGGGAAGAGGTGAGTCCCCACCCCAAGCCTCTCTGTTTGCCCTCTTTCAAAGCTCCCCTCCACCAGGAAGCTCTCCAGGACCTCCTCAGTAGCCTACTTGGAGGCAGCAACTTGTCTATACTTCTCTCGCCTCCCTGACTCCCACCCCTACCCCCATCCCCATCCCCACCTGGATGCTTCGCGTATAGGAGTGTATAGGAGACACCACGAGGACTAGAGCCTTATGATCACTCCAGTCCTTCAAGCACCTAACATTGAAAAGTGGGTGCTCAGGTTGGTGTGAGTTATGTATTCAGTGGTCTGTAGGGGTAAGCTGGAGGGTGGGAAGGAGGCAGCTGGAAGATGCACTAACTTCTCTTCACCGTGGTCCCCAGATACTGTCGGTCCAGTCTCTTCAATGGTTCGGTAGGAGCTAGGTGGGAAGGTGGGGGGAGGGGATGTAATAGTGGAGGAGAGGAGAGGCTTGGCCCAGAGGAGGGGAAGGCTTGGGGGGTGGAGGAGGGGGGAAGGAGGAGGGGCCGTCTCACCCTCTGCTTGAATTCGGACTTCTCCTCCAGCGTCATGGTGTCAGCCTTGGCTATGACGGGGATGATGTTCACCACTTTGCTGAGGTGTTTCATGAACTCCAGGTCAAGGGGTCGCAGGCTGGGGCCAGATAAGGCGGGGTGTCAGGGCCACCTTGTCCTCCCCCACTCAGCCACAGGACGGACAGGAGGACTAGGAACCTGGCTGAGGCCAAGATGCTGCTCTCTCCCCCACACACACAACCACTGTCTCACCATCTGCAGAACAAGCCTGACTCCGTCCACACACGGCCCACCATCTGCCCTGCTCTTCACGTCCTGCCCCTCCCAAAGCCCCTCAACCACCCGCCGTGGCATCTTCTCTGACCTGGAGCAGCTATGGAGTCACCCGTAGGCCCTTGTGTCACGGTTATTTGTGTGTATCTTGTTCCTATGGGCCTCCTCTCAGCCCCACTTCGTCCTGCAGGCAGCCAACGGGGCCCTGCCCCTCCCCTGGCTAAGTACCCAGCTCTCCCCAGACCCCAGGGTCCCCATCTGGCCCCAGTTTATAGTCCAGGGGGCTTACTGGGTCAGGCTGTCTGCTGCCTTGCAGACCTTGAGCCCAGGTTGTAGGGCAGGATAAAGCTAAGCACTTCATTGCATTCCTGGGCCCCATCAGGGGACCCGCTGAGTACCCTGTGCCTCCAAATTGGGGGCCTGCCTTGCTCGGGCAACCTCTCCAGAATGAACCCCGGCCCAGCGGCTGGGCTTAGTAATGTTATGGGGCCTCCCCCAACGGGAAGGTTGTCTGCTTGCCCACGTGAGTCCTCCATCCTCTGCCAGAGTTCCCAGCATGCCCTGCTTGTTGCCAGCCTCATTTCTAGACACCCGCCAAATGCCTACATCTGGACCCCATGCCCCACCCAAAACACCAGCCCCAATCCAGTAGCCCTGCCCCCCGCCCCCCACTTCAAACCCCAGCCTTGTGCAAAGCAGTCATCTACTGAATAAATAAGGAGTTCTCTGCCCTGGGCAATGTGCTTAGCGGTTAGAGCATCAGCCCATGCACCGAAGGGTCTCGGGTTCGATTCCCAGCCAAGGGCACCTCCCTAGGTTGCAGTTTCTTCCTTTCTTTTTTTGTTTTGTTTCTTTTTCTTTTTTTTAAATATATTGTTATTGCTTTCAGAGAGGAAGGGAGAAGGAGAGAGAGAGAAAAACATCAATGATGAGAGAGAATCATTGATCAGCTGCCTCCTGCACGCCCCCCACTGGGGATGGAGCCTGCAACCTGGGCATGTGCCCTTGACTGGAATCAAATCCAGGACCCTTCTGTCCACAGGCTGATGCTCTATCCACTGAGCCCAACCAGCTAGGGCCCAGGTTGCAGTTTTGAGCCCTGGCCTGTTTGGGGGCATGTGTGGGAGGCAACCAATTGATGTTTTCCTTTCACATTGATGTTTCAAAAACCTCTCTCTCTCTCTGTCTCTCTGATCCCCTCCCTCTCTCCCACTCTCTCTAAAAATCAATGGGAAAATATCCTCGGGTGAGGATTAACAACAACAACCACATACACACACACACACACACACACACACACACACACGCACGAGACATTTGCTCACATACACCAACTTCTCTCCACAGGCATAATCGTGCCATGGTGCCAGAATACCAGCGGGCAGCGTGGGGGCTGATGCTGGCCAGCTTTACTCTCCTGGCAAGGGAGCCAAACGCGCGTGGGGAAAGTGTGGGGAATCACAGGGCCATGACTATATGGGGCCCATCTGGCCCTCCCCGGCTGAGTCCAGGTATTGATTATCGATTACAGAATAGGCACAGATGGTGCCAACCAGAGCCAGGCCCCGCGTGGGGGTGGGGCAGGTACATACGAGTGTCCCGTGGGGGAGATGAAGTAGAGGCAGCAGTGGACACGCGTGTCCGGGATGCGCTTCTTCCTGGCGATGTTCACCTCCTCCTTCAGGAACTTCTCGTACTGCTCGTTGATGTACTTCTCAATGGGCTCCCAGCTGCGGGTGGGAAGCAGCAGATGCATGTCCCAGAGGAGCTCATCGAAGGCACGGACCTCACACCAGCTCATTTCCTACTTCCCCTTTCGCAGGGGGTGGGGGGGGGGGGTGCCTGCTGACCATTCTCCCTCGGCCCCCACAGAGGGCTTTCCTTCTTAGCAAGGCTGGTCTCCCCCGGGGACCTGGCCCTCGCCCCAGCTGTGGAGCCTGCAGACCCCGCCGCACCCCAGAAAGCATCCCACACTGTCCCCAGCTCCCTTCCTTCCCAGTGGGGGCTCTGGAGAGGGCTCTGCCCCTTTCTGGGCTGTTTTCTCATGAGTATTTCTCCCGAGTAATAGTAGTGACCGGAGGGGTGCACACAGGATCAAGAAGAAAGGATGTTCAGTGAGGAACGTAGCCGTGGCACGCAGAAGTACTCGGTCATGGCGACAACTCACTGTCATGATCACGGTCCTTGTCATGATTACTTCTCTGCATTAAGGAGCATGCGTACAACCAGAGCAGAGGGCCCCCGTCACTTCTCTAAGGTCGTCATAAGCTGCCTTGTTCGGTGGCCCTGCCTGTCAGCGGCAGAGCCCGGCTTCCTCACAGAAGCTCTGTGGTCTCCGTCCCTCTCTGAAAGCAAACTTCTGCCTAGAACCTTCCATCTTGGTGGCTCGCGGACTGCAGCTTTGCTCTGTGGATCCCAGAGGCTCTCTCCTCATGGCCACTCCCCCTCTTCCTGATTCTCACTCACCCTCCCCTGACCAGGCCAAGCAGCCTGCGGCCTCCGTGCAGCCTGGGTTTGCCCCCAGGTCCCCTTGTTCCGTCTGCCCGGCCCCACGGCCACCTCCAGGGCATCCCTCTGCCAAAATTCCCTCTGCACTGTCCCCTCCACCCCCCCGCCCAGCCCCCCTCTGGACTGCTTCCCTCGCCTCCTTCAAACCCCTCTCCCATCCTTCAGGCAGACACAGCCCTCAGCGTGGAGGGCACAGGTGGTTCTCAAGTAGATGCACCTGCACCACACCCAGCGCCTCCCTGTGGTCTTTAGGGCAGAGAGCTCCCAGGCAGACACGTACCAGTTTTCATTGTTGATCTGGTCTCCAAAGCCAGGCGTGTCGATGACGGTCAGCTTCATTTTGACGCCGCCCTCCTCTATCACTGGGGGGTGAGCGGGAAAGGCACCAGGGGGTGACTCCTCCAGCTGGCGCAGGCGCCCTGCCGCCCCCCAGCCAGGGAGGCCCAGGTTCCTTCCTTCTCATGACCAACTATGGGCAGAGTCAAGTTCGGCGACTTCTGCACCTCCACACCTTCGCTCATGCTGTTCCCTGCACCTGGAATGGCCTCCCTACTTCCTTCTGCCTGCCCACCTCCCACGCCAGCCTTAGCGTCCAGCCTGAACCCCATTGCTTCCCTTCTAACCCCTCCTCCTCCCCCCTCTGGCCTTGCATTCTGAGGAGTTGGCTCCATAGAGTTTAGGGCTTAATTCTATTCTGTATTGAGGTTGCCTTTCCTTCGAGTCACTCCCCACTAAGCCCCATTCGCCCGCCTTCCTGGCAGAGGCCCTCTGGCCAGTGCCCGGGGCCCCGCCGGGCCCTCACCGTGCCCAATGGCCTTGATCTCCACGGTCTTGGGGATCTTCTCCTCGCGGTTCCAGCTGGAGGCCTTGCGGCTCACTTGGGATTTGAAGAGCGTGTTGACCAGCGTTGACTTGCCCAGTCCACTCTGACCTGAGCAAGACAGGGGGATGAGAAGGCAGGGCCCCATGGCCCGTCCTGAGCCCGATGATCTCTCCCAGGCCTTGCAGAATTCTGGAGCTGGCCACGTCCTGTTTGACGGGAGGGAGGGGCTGAGCGGGGATTGCAGACTCTGGGTGGGAGAGGGGGGAGAACAGGATGGTTTCCTGTGTGTGGGAGAAGGACTGGGGCCAACCTGTTAGAGACCACACACTCCTGCCTGGAGCCCCAGGACCTTCAGCAAATGGGCCCACCTCTGCATCTGGGTGTGTTTTTGCTTAAGTTTCTAGTCTTCCCTTTAATACAGAAAATCATGGCGGAATTGCTTGGCACCGACACAGACACAGCCTCCGTGCGTGCGCACTTTCAACAGGGCCTTCCTTCAGCCCCGCGAATCCCACAGCAGAGCTCCCTTTGATCCCCGCCAAGGGGTCCTGGAGAGACCGAGCCCCACCTAACGTAAAAGATGTGCGAGGCAACCTAACTCATAAGTGCAAGACAGGGCCTGGAGCCCCAGGAGCCTCTTGGCCCATAGCCACTCTTCACCCTCCCGCTGCGGTGAGCACCTTGTGGAGATAAATGCCTGGGGGACCCTGCGGGAGGAGGAAGAAGCTGAGTGGGCAGGGCCCGCCCCTCACCTCTGCTTCCTTCACCATGGCGCCCTTTTAGGCCGTTTTACATGCAGAGGTCTACAGATTTCGATCCAGGGTGTTAATGAAAAGGTGCCCCACAACGAAAAGGCACTGAAACCTTTTATGCCTGGTCCGAGCAGTGCTTCTCAAATTCTAACGTGCACAAGGATACAGCAAGCCTTGGCCCCGATGAGCGGCCTGGGCATCGCCTGGACGCTGGGAGGAAACGCAGGAGCCCAGCTGCCCCTCCCGCCCGCCCCCCCAGCCCTTATATTTTCAGAATCTGCATCTTAAAGGGCTTCCAGAAGAGTCATGCGGACAGGAGTCAGTGTTCCGTGCTAGGTCTCACCTCTGCTTCCTTCACCATGGCGCCCTTTTAGGCCGTTTTACATGCAGAGGTCTACAGATTTCGATCCAGGGTGTTAATGAAAAGGTGCCCCACAACGAAAAGGCACTGAAACCTTTTATGCCTGTGGTCCGAGCTGCTTCTCAAATTCTAACGTGCACAAGGATACAGCAAGCCTTGGCCCCGATGAGCGGCCTGGGCATCGCCTGGACGCTGGGAGGAAACGCAGGAGCCCAGCTGCCCCTCCCGCCCGCCCCCCCAGCCCTTATATTTTCAGAATCTGCATCTTAAAGGGCTTCCAGAAGAGTCATGCGGACAGGAGTCAGTGTTCCGTGCTAGGTCAGGGGCAAAGGCCTGAGTTCTAGACCCAGCTGTTCTGTTTCCCGGGCGCCTAGGAATGGCCATGTTTGGCCCTCTAGTTTCTTTACTGAGAATGTGATGGGAGGGAAGGGACTGCATGAGACCAGGGATGGCAAATAAGCTGCAGTTCTCCTTCCAACTGATCCACTGGTTGTAGCCACCAAGCCCGATCTGTTAAAGAGGCTACATCTGGGCTCGGACTGCACGCGTGCCAGGACGCAGCAGCAGTGTCTGCCATGGCGCTGCTGGGACAGAGGTGGCCCACAAGTCTTGTACTCGCCATTCATGTCAGGACGTTTTCTAAGGTCATTTGTTCACTAAGTATTCGTGTGCGCCGAGTGCTGTGCTAGAAGTGGAGACAGAGTGGGAAGTGAGACATCATCCTTCCCCTCAAGGACCCATTTAGTGTGAGAGAGACCAAAACATAAGCAGACAATTACAATATGTTGCCATGACCACTACAAAAGAGATAACCACAGGGTGTTACAGCAGCAAACGGAAGGGAATCCAATCCCGTCTCTCTGGGATCCAGGAGGACTTCCAAGAAGAAGCAATAACTAAGCCAAAAGCTGAAGAGTCACTTTGAATGACCCATGAGAAGCTGGAAGGGGTTTCTAGACAGAGGGAACAGCATATGCAAAGGCTCCGAGGTAGGAAAGAGACATTTTGGTATTAGAATGACCTTTAAAAATGTGTGGTTGGAGGGCAAAGAGGCTGAGGAAAGAGTGTGGCAAGAACGTCCAGGAGAACTGTCCCTTGTGAGTAGAATGCTACAGGGAGGTGGTAAGAGAAGTGTGGAGAGGCAGTACCAGGCCAGACTAGCAGTTCAAACCCTTACACTTACCATACTGATGGGTGCCTGATGAGTTTTGCAGTTGGAAAAATTATTCGGATACTGCTGGACAATGGATTGAACAGGAAGGGAGACAGGAGGGGGTCAATGCCCCTCAGAGTGTGGCTGGCAGCCAGGGTCCATGAACCAGTTGTTACTGGTTGTTGAGAGAAGAAGTTTGCACCAGAAAGTATGTCAACGATGTCACTAAGTACACGTTTAGTTTAGCCGATGTTTATATTAGCACGATTTTCCAGATGTCTGCACTCTGGCCCAGCACACATCTGGGCCGTGATCACTAGGAGCAGCACTGAGTCAGGTGGCCGTGGCAGGCCAGGTGAGAGGCTGGCTCCGCCCAGGGAGGCAGCAGTGGAGATGGGAAGTAGACTGACCTGAGAGAGATTTACAAGTGAAACCGACAGGACTGGATTGATTGGATCGGGACATAAGGAAGAAGGATGATGCCCAGCCACGGACGGAACACCTCACCGAAATCACTCTGTGACCTGGTGACACTAAGGGCCCAAAATAAGTCCACCCTCCATCAGCTCTCGAAGGTGGGGGAGGACACTGATGAGTCCCCCAGGCACACACCTGAAAGCAGGCTGGACATGGCTAAAGGCTGCCTATGTCCACCAGCTGGTGATGGGGCCCGGCTGACCATCCCCCACAGCTCCCAGCCCCCGATCAGCGAGCCTTAAGGAGGGGAGGGGGTCAGGCCTCTGTGATCAGCACAGTGAGATCTTCCCTCCTAGAAAGAGCTCATCCTCAAGAAGCCAGGGCCGAGGTCATCCCTGGGACAGAAAGAGATCCTCCGTGCTACCCCCCACCCGGGCCTCCGGGGGCCCCGCGGCCTTCCATACCGACGACCATGATGTTGAAGTCGAACCCGGTCTTCATGGTCTTCTTCCGCATCTGTTCGATGATGGTGTCGATGCCGATGTAGCCCAGCAGGTTGGTGTTGATGCTGACGGGCTTCATGGGCACTGCCGGCTTAGGCCTGGGCTCGGGCACCAGCTCCGACATGGCTGCGTCCGTCCTGGTCTCTGGGAGCCCTGCCAAGGCGGGAGGGTGGGCTGCTGAGGCCACGGAAGCCGCAGTGCTGCTCACCGACACAGGGTCATACAGGGCGGGGTCGGCAAGGGGCCTTAGATGTCATCCGCTGCGGGTCCCTCATTTCACAGGCATGGAAACTGAGGCCCGGAGGAAAGGACTGGCTTAAGAGCAGAGAGCAAGTCAGGTGCGAAGCCTGGACCAGGCCCGTTAACCAGCTGCTGGGGCCGCCGCCAAAGCACCACAGCTGGGTGTCTGACCCAGGGCTGTGTCCTCTTGGCACGACTGACCATTTGGGGGGAATAATTATTGTGGGGGGCTGTCCTGCGCCTTGTGGGATGTTCAGTGGCATCCCTGGCCTCTACTAGATGGAAGAGCCCCCCAGTAGTGACAACCAGAGGACATTGTGCCGTATGTCTCCTGGGGGCAGGTGGCCCGAGTGGAGGACCCCTAGTCTAAGCGATGTCTGGGGTTATTCCAACCTGCGTCCTGCCCCCCGCACCCCCCACATAAAGGGCCAAAACCAGTTAGGACACTGGACCTAACTTCAATGGACATCTGCCACTGCCCGCAGCTGCTTTGTCCTTTACAAGCAAACAGGGCCAGCCCCCTGCAGAGTGCGCGTCAGTCCGTCTCCCAGCCTCCGTGCCCCTCTGTCCCACAGGCACCGCTGCCAATCAGGGTGTCTGGCACTGAGGAGCCCCAGGCACCCTCCCTAGAGCTTTGAATCTGTGGGAAGAATAGGTCTCCCCTTTTGACCAGCAGGGAGAGGATGAAACCCAGGGAAGGGCAGTCACTTGTCTGAGGTGGCGCCATGTGTTCTGGGGATGGTGGGTGGCAGAGGAGAGGGGAGGCTGAGGAACAGCCCTGCTCCAGTGGGGAAAGGCGCCCAGACCGCTGGGCTGGCAGGTCCTGGGCATCTCCACACACAAGAGAAGCCTGTGCGTTTCCCCACTGGGCCACTGTCCACCAGGCTAGGTTTCAGGACAGCAGCCGCGTTTCCCCATCCAGAAAATGGGGCGTGTGTGGTGAGGCGGGAAGATCGTGGCTCTGCTACTCACCAGCTCTGTGGGCTTGGGCGACGCACCTGCCCCCAGGACCCCACTTCCTCGTGTGTAAACTGCTTAGGATCATGGTGAAGGCTGTGGTGAGCATTACATGGGGTATGATGCCTAGACGCACCCACAGGGCACCTCCCAGTTCCAGCCCCTCTTGCCCCTCCCACTTTCAAGCTCACTGGCTTGTCAGAGGGGGAGATGAAGTGGTGCGTGTGAAAGCACGTGTCCAAGGGCGGTATCCAGGTGCTAATTACACTGCACAGCTACTGGACGCCACACTCGCTCCGGCATCCCTTCCAGGCTGCCATTCCGAAATCCTATGGTTCCGCCCTGCAGTCTCAGGCTTACAGGGCGGGTGATGGAACAGCCGGTGGGCAAGAGGGCGAGAGGATGAGAGCTCCGCCGTCCTCTACCCCCAAACCCAGCCAGGAGTCTGCTCTCATACCCCACCACCTGGTCCTTCCCTGGGTCTTGGCAAGACTCTCTCTCCCAATGGGAAAGTGTTCTTTCCTTGTCACTCTGCGACACGGCCAGCTCTGACAAAGCCCCGGGACCTCCCCAGGGCCTGGCTGTGCTCCCTCCTGCTTCCCAGGAAGCTGGTGCTGGCCAGGCGCTGGCAGCGAGAGATTGGCTCAGCCCCGCAGCAGCTGATCTCAGGCCGGGCCTGCTCCCCAGTCTCCACACGTGGCTCACAATCAGCACCCCTTCACTGGGGCCAATGCCCCACTTTTCCTGCCCAGCTGCTCTCACGCTGGCTCTTTCCATTTCCCAGGTGCCTCGAAGCTGAGCCCATTTGGTCTCCACAACCTGTGCTGGGAGATCTGGGGGAACAACCCATTTCACACCCCTGGAAGGTGAGTCTGGTACTTATTTATGGGTGTTTTTCTAAATGTTCTTATAAAGTGGGTGTCCTCGCCACGGCCTGCTCAGCCCAGGCCCGACAACGTGCCTTCCTAAAAGGGCATTATTCCTCAAAGACGGACCCTGATTCCCAGGCAACTCCTCGGGGCTACGGCAGGCGCGGCAGATCCAGTGTGTGAGCAGACATCTCCTCCCTCCTCCCAGCAAGCACCTGTCCACGCCTACTGTGTCCCTGTGAAGAGCACCTGCTGGCAAGCCCCCCCAACACGTGCCAATGGCACATCAGTTACATGCTAACACCCTCCAGCCATGAGTGCGGAGAAGGCTGGGCGGTCACTGTGCCACAGCCGTTGCTGAAGGACCCTGCCCACTGCAGCCGCGGGCTCTTTCCTGCTCTCCTTTCACCATCGGCCCAAGGGCTACCCCTCGGGAGCGACTCCGCTTTCCCACGGGTACAGACGCCCTTTTGCGTGGCCTCAGCCATCTCGGTACCCATCTCATTCGCTCACCCATGCACCAGGCGTTCCATCCACCCCGCCAGGCCCTCTCACATGTGGTCAGATGGGAGCCTCCTCCAGCCAAGGACAAATACCAAGGACACTTTGGGACCCCAGACAAGGTCATTGCCCCCGGGGGCCCTCTCTCTGCTGAGAGTTCCTGACAAGTACACAAAGACCTCCAGGGTGCAGGACAAATACTGATTGCTGTGCCCCAATGTCCCTAGCATAACACAGGCACTCAGCAATGAATGAATGAATGAATGAATGCCTCACTGCGAGTCAGCTGTCACTTTTCTCCTCCCTCAGAAGCTCCTCTAGCAGAGCAGCTGACACCCAGCCAGCAGCCAGCTCTGTGTGTGGGTCACCGGCAAGGGGGTAGACTCTGTTAAAGACCTGCTTCCTCCCCCACAACAAGGGTCACAGGGTCACAGTAGGACACAGCTCAAGCAGGCCACCCTGCCTCCATGGTCCTTGGCGCCCCTCCTAGGCTCCCAGCTCTCCCAGGGCCCCGGGAGGAGGAGAATCTGTGTGCGGCCGGCATCCCCTGCCAGGAGCCACCTGCCCCATCAGCGCTCAGGGCTCCCGGGAGAGGCACTGTCCACCTGACTCAGTTCTGAGTCCCCCACAGAAACGGCACCTCCGGCACCTGCCCAGCCAGGACCTGGTGGTTTCTGTTACGGGCAAATGAGTGGCTTTGTCTTTGTCTGGCATGGGGACCCCACCCCTCAAATGGGAAGGTGGCAGCAGGGGGAGGAGACCTTCCGGAAGAGCACCTGCCTCCTGCGCTGAGTGGGGTGGGGGGTGGGCAGGCTCTTCCTTCCTTCCTGAGCTTCAGATCTTCCCCAGACCCCACCCCACGGGCACCCGCACCCTCAGAGGCAAATTCGGTCCCCCCCATCTCCAGCCCCCGCTCTCAGAAAAAGAATCACAAAGGCTACCTTAGTCCTTGCCTATTGGCAGGAGCCAAGGGCCCTGGGACACCCCTTCCCCCATCCAGCTCTCTGGAGGCCAGCGAGTTCCCTGGGAGACCACCAGCTGGTGCCCGGCGGGTGTGGGGGAAGGGGCCGCCTGTGTGTGAGCGCACAGGTCTGCATCGGGTGTAGGTGGCCTGATACCTGTGCGTGGCGGGCATGTGTGTGCGTGTCTGCGGGGCGTGCTGTGCGCATCTGGGTCCCGACTTGCGTGTCGGAGGGTCTCGGTGCCGCCCGCATTCCCGTGGGTGGATTCTCCGGGAGTGTGTATCTTGGGGTGTGTGCACTGTGTGTGCGTGTGCCGGTGCATATGTCACCGCGCGTGGGCCCCTGGCGCAGGCCCCCTCCCCCTGGTAGCACCTCCAGCCGGGCTTCGGGGGCCCTAACCTCTTCCCGGCGGGCGGGCGCCGATGGCCGGGCCAGAGGCCCTACCTTTGGACATGAATCCTCCTTTGTCTCCGCTC